TTTGTGTCATCGCCTCGGACGATGCGTTCCCTCCCATGCTTTACAAAATTTTAGCCATCTCCCAACGCGTCGGCCTTGTGGGTCAGCGCACCGGTGGCAGATGAGCTCCTCCCTCAACTTTACAAAACTTGGGCGTACCTAACGCGAAGGCCCCTTTGGGTCATCTCCTCGGACGCTGCGTTCCCTCCCATGCTTTACAAAGTTTTATCCATCTCCCAACGCGTCGGTCTTGTGGGTCAGCGCACCGGTGGTAGATAAGCTCCTCCCTCAACTTTACAAAGTTTGGGCGCACCTGACGCGAAGGCCCCTTTGGGTCATCGCCTCGGACGCTGCGTTCCCTCCCATGCTTTACAAAGTTTTAGCCATCTCCCAACACGTCGGCCTTGTAGGTCAGCGCACCGGTGGCATATGAGCTCCTCCCTCAACTTTACAAAGCTTGGACGCACCTGACGCGAAGGTCCCTTTGGGTCATCGCCTCGGACGCTGCGTTCCTTCCCATGCTTTACAAAGTTTTAGCCATCTCCTAACGCGTCAGTCTGTGGGGTCAGCGCACCATATTCACGAAGCTTCGTCGCACCTGACACGAAGTTCCATGCTGGTTGATCGCCTCGTACGCTACGCACAGTAACGAAACTTTGGCACGTCTGCCTAGGATCATAACCTCGATTACTGTAACAGATCAACCCCCAAAACTCCCACGACTCGCGGTTCGGTCAGGAAAGCAAGTCCACCCATGATATAAATATTCATACCTGGACTTGGGGGACCACTATTATGCTCCGATCTTATACGCCTTGGAACGCGCAACACCACATATTCCGACCTGATAAAGACCCGTCCGAAGTGTTTTCGAAGTGATATAGCGATTCCTACTACTGACCTGCTGAAGCACCTCATCCCCGAGGTCGAGGCCAAGTGGACCCTGGTTAGAAGATCTGCCGCCAATTTTAGAAAGAGATTTATGTCAAGATCCTTCCTGCACCTAAGGTTTAAATTGATTTGACGTCTCCATGAGGCTAGTTGATGTGACTTATCAACTTTATGTCAATTCAACTTAGAAGAAACAAACTGTCCGCCCACTCTACAGACGCGGCTAATTGACGCCTATGAGCGGACGTCTCATACCGTCAGATGCACCTATAAATATCCAAGGTTTGGCAAAAGGCAAATGTAATGAAACTTTTACTACACAGCACTCCATAGCAAGCTTATATATTTTCTCCTCCCCCTTTATCATTGATTTGCACAGCCCCTGGGTACTGTTCCGACCACTTAAACCTAACTTGACCGTCGGAGTGTATACGGCCGTCACCACCCCCGCTGGTTCCGGCCGTGTGCGTCTGACTATTCGCTGATTGTGAGCAGACTCCCACGACTCGCGGTTCGGTCAGGAAAGCAAGTCCACCCATGATATAAATATTCATACCTGGACTTGGGGGACCACTATTACGCTCTGATCTTATACGCCTTGGAACGCGCAACACCACATATTCCGACCTGATAAAGACCCGTCCGAAGTGTTTTCGAAGTGATATAGCGATTCCTACTACTGACCTGCTGAAGCACCTCGTCCCCGAGGTCGAGGCCAAGTGGACCCTGGTTAAAAGATCTGCCGCCAATTTTAGAAAGAGATTTGTGTCAAGATCCTTCCTGCACCTAAGGTTTAAATTGATTTGACGTCTCCATGAGGCTAGTTGATGTGACTTATCAACTTTATGTCAATTCAACTTAGAAGAAACAAACTGTCCGCCCACTCTACAGACGCGGCTAATTGACGCCTATGAGCGGACGTCTCATACCGTCAGATGCACCTATAAATATCCAAGGTTTGGCAAAAGGCAAATGTAATGAAACTTTTACTACACAGCACTCCATAGCAAGCTTATATATTTTCTCCTCCCCCTTTATCATTGATTTGCACAGCCCCTGGGTACTGTTCCGACCACTTAAACCTAACTTGACCGTCGGAGTGTATACGGCCGTCACCACCCCCGCTGGTTCCGGCCGTGTGCGTCTGACTATTCGCTGATTGTGAGCAGAGAGAAATACGTGGAGTAGTTTTCAGTTGGCCACGTGGAAGGACCAATTTTCGAGGTCAACACTAAGTTCAACGTTACCGCTTAAGTTGTTAAGTAAGAGACTACGTATATAAGTTGAAAATGTTGATAACTTTATGAATTATGTCTAAACTGAATGACGGCACCTAACGCGAACGATTTAAAATTAAATTACTCCGTTTGGCCTCCATTATTTGAGATTATATTTTTTGAAATAATATTTTTGAAAAATATGTAATTAAAAAAGAAGAAAAAATTTCGAATTTACGTATAATATTATTTTATTGGAGGAGAATGTATGATTGATAAAAAAAGCGAGAACAAAAAATTACAATTTTAATGTGAGCCAAATCACAACCGTTCGAGTTCGATGGTCTCAATTGGATTTAGACATAATTTATATAATTATCAACATTTTCAATTTTCAACAGTCATTGCTTGACCCTTAGCTAAATTTAGCCACGCCACCCAAGGGATTAAAAAGTTGTCTGCATATGCAAAATGAAAATGTTGATAATTTTGTTTAGTTTGGGTTCCATTTTTTTGCTAAAACATTATTTTCAAAATTTAATATTAATTTTTATCAAGTATTTCATTAAATTAACAAGTATCATCCGCTTATTATTCAATTCTATCAGTTTATAATCTAAAGTAAAAATTGAAATCCAAACAAATACTACGTCTGATATAAAAGATTTGAAATCAAATGATACCATCTAACTTTATATTCATCATTCGAGCCCTACTTAAGTTTAACCAGAAACGAAAAGGGTTAAGAAAAAGAGTACGATTTCATTAAAAATCAAATTTTTAATAATTTTAATAAAATTAAGGAAGTATATATCAAATCTTGATAAAGAAAATAGAATTATTCTTGGGTTACATAATCCCAAATATTAATGGACACCTTATTGAGCCCCCATGTACACTAAAAATAACCCAAATCAAGAAAATATTTTGGTAGCGTGAACGAGATCAAGAAATGGGCCAATATATCGCGGCGCCCCTCCATTATTGACACCCTTATGTTCCCCCATGTACCCCAAGAATAACCCAAATTAAGAAGATATTTTGGTAGCGTGAACGTGATCAAGAAATGGGCCAATATATCACAGGCGTCCCTCCATTATTGACACCCTTATGTTCTGTTATGCACTCCAAAAATAACCCAAATCAAGAAAATATTTTGGTAGCGTGAACGTGATCAAGAAATGGGCCAGTATGGACGGATGTGTCTACAAACTTGGAACACTGCCCAAGGAATGAAAGCCATAGCTTAGATAACTTAGGCCTCAAAGTTCACACCCTATGGCCTCATCCCTAAAGGAGTAAAAGCCTATTTAATATTACTAGGCCAGGCCAACGAACAAAGTTATGAGACGCGTGGGCCCACTCAAACATTAGCATGGGGCTGGATTTCATAAAGTATTTCATAAACACCGCCAAGAATTTGTTACTCAAAACCATTCATAATTGACAAAATAACAGTATTTTAAAAAGCATAAAACATGGCTAGACATGGAGGTCGAATTTCAAGCTTTCCAAAACTAGATATAAAAAAGGTTAGTTATTTTCATTATTGTTTTAGATACTTAATCATTCTAAAAATTATTTAATAATTAAAATAATGCATAAATGTCTAAAATTATAAAATACCATATTCACTTAATAATTTATACAATTAATCAATTATACAATTTTCAAGTTTTCAAAATGCAAAGCTAGACTATTTACTTAACTTTAAAGTTTCAAATAAACAAGTCACACTTAACAAATTAATACGAACTTTATACAAAATTTTGAAGTTTCCCACAAAACGATAAGTCTTAAAATCATAATTACATAATATAAATAGCACCATAAATTAAATATTTATAGATAAAGTCTTTCTATTTTTGTACAAATAATATCATTTAAAAATTTGAAATTAAAGTCAAATAGAAGCCTTTCAAAAATAGAAAAAAATAAATAAATAAAAAAGTTTAATAAATTAAAGTCAAATAAAATGTTTTTAGGAAAGGAGAAAAATAAATAAATAACAAGAAGAAAGCGCATCTAGCCGGGCGTTAGGCAATCAATTGCTACTTGCTAAGCAACAGTTGATCGCTTAATTCTGGCTTATTATCAAGGTAAAATATTTTTCCCTAGACATGATTTTTAGAACATTGAAAATAGGCACTAACATTGCCACCTTCGTCACCATTAAAAAAAATAATAATAAATAAATAATAGGGACCTTGCAGAAAATATCACGTGTAACAAAGGTCCTCGACATGTATTTCATCGTTGATTACATGTACATCAAACTTTACATAGTAAGCTCCTTAATGTCATATGTCACTATTATTTTATAGCTTAAAACACAATCAATTTTTTCATCCAATCTTTCCCATCCAAATCATTTCATACAATCCCTTGTGTAACATTTTTTATGCACAAATAACATAATCCTTCAAATTGGAACCAAAACATATACATTCATATGACGACATATTATTATTATTATTTTGAAGTTAAATGCCTAATTAATAAAAATAAAACTAGAAATACTTGATTTCAGGTAATTTTATCTATTAAACATACAACCTTCTAGCCCAACAATTTCCATAAAATAACAGAATAATTTCTTTAGTTTCCAACTTCGATAACGAAAATATAAAAGCATGTTTACCAAATGTTTATGAACAATTTAAATATAAATAAATCAAAACAAGCGAAAAACAAATGAGTAACACTTGCAGATCACAGGAAATATTGAATAAAATCAACTTAAATATTTATAAACAATTTATATACATAAGCAAAACATAGGCTATAAGAGTGATGATATCCATATAATAATCTCTTAAATCGCAGTGAATTGCATTGTTTTCATTTGAATATAGATAATGGTAGATTGATTACTGTTCGACTCATTGTTTGATTACTGTTCGACTCATTGAATGCTCATCCCACTTGCAAAGATTCTCTCAAGGGATAACTTTAATGGCACAGCTTCTTTCAGAGAGGTTCCAATGCACAGCTTAAATCATAACACTGATGCGCAAGCAGATAAATAGGCATACATGGGTTTCAAAACAAGCACACCTTCCATCCATACTACGTATTTTAAGGATGAAATAAGCACAACAGTGCTAATTATCGACCAAGAAAAAAAAAACCGTCTTATTTTTAAGAGACCACACAAACCAAACGCTGAAGAAAATTGGAGTTGGAATAGGCTAAAATGCATGAACCAAACGGTTAACAATAAATAATGGTGAGCTCAATTAATTGCATCAATCATCAATGTAAGCATTGGACATATGCTTCAAGAACAAGGAGACACCATGACTCTAATGGCATCCTGTGCTCGCTCTTAATGTGCACGAGTTCTGCTACTTTCTGCATTCCTTATCGGGTAGAAATAGGGATGAGCCTGCACAAAAATTCAATAACCCACAGGATGATTTGAAGCCAAGAACAAATCAATTAATAAAACACAAGTAATGTGTTCATTTTAAATATCATAAATTGGAATCCATGGTAAATAAGAGAACTTAGACATGATTTTTCCTATTTACCATCCCAAAGCACTTCCTTAATCAACAAAAGTATTTTAATTTTCCAGTAGTTTGTTATGGCACACAGCAATTCTCCATTTCCAGTTGACTTAATTTTCAAGTATGCCTCTGAAACAGTTGCAGAAATTTTTCCCAAGTCTCGGGTGTAAGAAGTGTTTCTAGTGTACTACATTCCAAAAAAAAATTTACACTACTGATTGGTGGGATGCCGGATGAAGATTTTACCATTGCTTCTTTCGCAGTTGGCCTCTCTTGATGATCATATCGCAACAGTTTGTCAACAAAATCAATACCCTTCACAGGATAAATGCAAATTTAAAGTTCAAATCCTCAGCATACTTTGATCATATGATTGTACGTTAACAATAGCCATAATTCTCACCTCTGGAACAGCCAAATGCTGATTATCGGCATTAATAAACTTTGTCCATGGTTTTCTGCTATGCCTGGATTGGTACGAAGGTACTTATATATGGTAACCAACAATAGATCATAGAGAAATCGATTAAGAATTATATAATTATTAACCTTTCAACCAGAGCAGCAAGATGTGGGTCCAATTCCAACCGGTACTTGTTAAGATAAACATTCAACTCGTCTGTTCCCAACACCTATCATCCATCAAACAGGCAGTTAACTTCACAGAGTCAGATATCAAGAGTTCTGCTCTTGTAATTTTCGAGCAAGACTGACCAAATCAATGATCATGTCCAAATAAGCAATAGCACCAGTCAAATGGACAAGCAGAAAAGACAATTATGATAAAATCACAAATACCAAACTCGTTTTAGCGTAAACATCAATAAAAACATAAAACATTATCTTGGTGTAGTGGCACTGGATGTGTGTCATCTACATGTTCGAATGGAGAAGGGTGAATATACTAGGAAGAGAGATCATATGATGCTGCACAGGTAGCATTTTCTGAAAAGAGATGTTTGTTTGGCCAGATGCAATGCTGATGGAGATCAAGATAGGAATAAAAATATAGAGTTATGGTTTAAATAGAAGTTTTAAATTGAGTTTAATTCTAATTAGATTAGATAAGATTTGTTTTGACATTTAATATTATTAGGAGTTTGTTTCCCTTTTTAAGTTTATTAAACTATAAATAGAGGGCCTTATTCATTGTAATTGAACCTTGATTATATGAATAAAGATTGATTTTTCCTCTTGCCCTCAATTCTTCTCTTCTTGGACATCCTTTCTTTCTTAATCTTCGATTATTCTTTAACAAGTCATACACATCTTGCGTCACATACCTTGGCAATCTTGACGAGTTGATCATAATTGTCATGCCCGTAAAAGAAAGGCTCCTTACGAAAAATCTGCACAAGCCCAAACCCTTGGCATAAACATCAAATTGGGAGTACACCTTGGCATATCTTGGTGTGGTATCAAAATTTCAGTCTCCTCATCATCTGCCACCCATGGATGTACAAGCGGATCAAAATCCACTCATCCAAATAGGTGAAGCTTGAAGAGCACAACTACCAAATGATATGCCCTGGTCCATTTGTATAACATACTAAACAAGTCTCTTAAAAAGTGAATATCTATTCTAGAATACAAGTCAGAAAAAGCGGGAGGGTATACCATTCCAGCAAACATACAACCGAGGCTCCACAAGTCCAAGGAGTAATCATAGTCTTGCAAATCAACGAGAAGTTCAGGGCCCTTAAAATACCTGCAAATCAGTGAGCAAAAGCATTTAAAAATTTAGATTGGTGCATGCATTATAGAAGTAAATTCAATCTCAGAAGCTGATCTCTGTGAGCAATAGCCACTAAAAACCAAAGAGCAAATATAAGGTGTTTGTTGCCCAAATTAATGCATGCTACTTGGCGATCACAGGAAGACTGATACATAAATAAATGTCCATATCATAATCACCGAGTCTAATTTTTAAGAAAAATGTTAGCACTATTAACCATTTTTCCAATACTTTATACCCTTTTCTTTAGTCATTAATAAGAATTAGTTGCAAGATAGTATTTCATTTTTCACGTAAATAAATTTATTTAGGTAGCCAAAAAACAAAAAGGATAATAATAATAACCACACAAAGAAAATGCCACACAGACGAGATGCATTGGCGGGAACTTGCTAGTTATTTTTACTCAATTAAAATTTGATAATTAAGTACTGAAATTTAATAGCCTAGTGTTAGTACCTAGGCTTGTGATACACAATACACAAGTAACTGCAAACAAGGAGCAAGGATCAGAACTGAATTAGATTAATGAAACTCAATGCAGAAATTGGATTTGGAAGATAACAGTTTATTGAAGATGGAATAACAACATAACAGTTCACAGGCTATTCAAGAGGCCTGGAATCCCTCCTATCTAACTAAAAAACCACCACTCAAACCATGCATGCTATGACCTTCCCCTCATTACAATTTATAGACCCTCTCGTATACTATTTTACTTTTTTGCCCTGCTCACTAACTTGGTGGATATTCTCGAATGCTGCCCCTACTTCATTCTTTCCTCTTCTTACGTAAGTGAATCGTATCGGGGGTCTACCATTACCCGCCACTCCAAAATCCACCTAGTCCTCGAGGTGGAAGCTAGGAAACTGCATCTGGATGGATTCCACTGACTCCCAAATAGCCTCAAATTCTGGAAGATCCTTCCATTTGATCAGAACTTCTATTTGTCCATGTTGCAATAATAAACAGTGCATGGTGCTTTATTAAAAAAGCTTCTCAGCATATATCGTACCAATCCAACTAGACCTAACAGCTTCATTAACGGACATTAGCCATCCTCTAAGATGTAATCTCATTTCAAAGACAGTATGGAGCAGAGTAATCGTCATAAGGCTTAAAAAAGTATGCTTTCTGGAGCCATTCATCCCTCCGATTATTAGATTTACTGAAGAGCCCAATTGCACCATAATGAAGATAATATTTTGGAATTGAACTACAAATTGTAATCATTTTACTGAAGAGCCCAATTGCACAGTAATGAAGATAATATTTTGGAATTGAACTACAGATTGCAATCATTTTTCCATATTTAATGAAACTGTCAGGCAAATTTGTTTCAAATAATCAAATGCAGTTTTAGAACCAAAACCATCACCTAAGAGCAGCTCCTAAACAGGTCCGAATTTTGTGCCCGAGTCCTTTCGCATCATCCACAAAAAGTGCTAAAATTATTTGTATCAAAGTCCACTCTAAATTTTATCTTAGGAGACTTAGGAATTGAACTACAGATTGCAATCATTTTTCCATATTTAATGAAACTGTCAGGCAAATTTGTTTCAAATAATCAAATGCAGTTTTAGAACCAAAACCATCACCTAAGAGCAGCTCCTAAACAGGTCCGAATTTTGTGCCCGAGTCCTTTCGCATCATCCACAAAAAGTGCTAAAATTATTTGTATCAAAGTCCACTCTAAATTTTATCTTAGGAGACTTAATAAGAGACACTCTAAAGCTATCTTCTACAATAGAAGTATTACTAAAATGTCAAAATAACAAAAGAAAATTCTCTAAAGTTCATAGCCCCCGTTTGGTCCCCATTTTTTCAAATTAAAGTGGGTAGAATAGTATTTTTTTGGAGAATGAATGATTCAAAAAGAAAGAAAAGTTTTTGATTTACGTGTAATACATTTTATAGAATATTATGTGATTGAAAATAGGAAAGAGAAAAATGAAATTTAATTTAATAAGGGCCAAATGGGGGGATAGACTAATCGAGTAAGAACTATCATGCATGAATAAAGGCAGACGATCTATAGATGTCGCAAAATCAGTACATCAAAAGCTCAAAAATTTATAAATAACAGCGAACGTTTCCATATCAAACTCCAAAATGAATTTCATCTTGGGAGACAATGAGAAATCCTCTAAAGCTGTCTACATTGGATGTGTGTGTTAGATGTCAAGTTACCAAAAAAAGTTCCGTAAAATTCAGTCTAAGCTATCACATACAGTACTGGACGGGGTATAGATATTCCAAAGCTCCCAGTTCACTACAAAAATTTATCTACAAAAGAAGTTGGGTACGAAACTACAAACTTTAATCTATGAAAGAAGATGGGTACGAAACTGTAATGGATGGGAAAAAATGAAATGAGTGCATGGCCTATAGAAGATAAACTAAATTGCAGAGAAGATAGCAAACCTAGAAGCAACACGAACGTTGTACTCTTTACCAGGATGGTAAAACTCCGCAAGTCCCCAATCTATAAGCCGAAGTTTCCTCTGCTCGTGATCAATCATGACATTATGAGGTTTCACGTCCCGATGCATGATACCTTGAGAATGACAGTAATCTAAAGCCTACACAAGTATAGGAAACTGAGAATTCTTTTTGCACTTTCAAAGAATTTCATGTTTGAAAACAGTAAAGGGAATAAGACATGGAAATCAAGGACAGAAAGAAAAGGTAAAGAGACCTATGTAACTTCTTAGAAAACAAATAAAGCAAATTCTCATTGTTAGCATAACTGACAGCAAAGTCTAGCAACAGGAAAATCACAATCAAGTATCTGAAAAACGAATTGAAATTTAAGCCCTGATTAGTTTAGGAATTTTCTTGTAATCAGTGGCTGGCCAGATCATGGCTCTTGAGCAACATCTCCAAAATGTGGATCACCAGCTGGCATTTCACAGAGGAAGCCATCCGCTTCCATTACCTAGATATATCCAATTTTGTTCCTTTTTTTATTAAAGCTTAAAAACCACATAACGTAGTTGATACCTTGTTAGCTTGACAGTAGGCATTTAAAGTTGATTCTACTCTAAATAAAATTTAGCATCAACAAAGAATATTGTCTTGTGTCTACAAGAAGAAGGGACCATAGCCAGGTTGCTCTTCAGCAAAGCAACCTAGATCCTGTAATCCTCTGAGGAACAATTATTATCTGTAGATAAGTACTATTTAGTCCAAAAAAATAATATAATTGATTTTGGAAGTGAATGGAAGGCTGAAAATTAATGGATGTTAGAAATCGAATTCTTTGTTTAACTACAAGTAGACATACATGTATTGGAGAAATTCGTTAAAGTTCAGACAACAAATGAGGTTGTCATTAGTTATAAATTCCAGTTTCTAGAACCCATCACCAACTGCGAACACAGATAAAACTAGGGACTTGCCTTGAGAAGTTCATAGATGTAATATCTAATATCGAAGTCGGAAAGTGTAGGATAAAGCACTTTAAAATCTGTATTGTTCACATATTCAAATATAAGACTTGGAGTCTTTGACTGCTGATCTCTGACAATATCGAGCAACTTCACAATATTAGGCCCACCGCAAAGATTCTGTAATATTTTAATCTCCCTCTTAATCTGCACAATATGGTGAAATTGAATGTAAGTTCTTCAATAATTTATTTCTAGGATTATGTAAGCACACTAAACCTAGCAAACAAGTGAACAATAAACATATAAAATTTAATCAACAAATATTTGTGAATGATATGCAATGGCACAATTTAATCATCCCAGTCTCTAATTATTGGTAAAAAACCTTATTAATCATCTTATCCTTTTTAAAATTACCACACATGCATCTTCTCGCACTCATTTTTCAACATATATGGACACATTGGCTTTTCTGAGCCCAACACTTGGGACAATAAATAAAGCTAGTCTAATCACTGTTTTGCAGAACTTGCTTTCTAAAACTAATTGAATCTCCCTATAACAAAAAACTTGTGGACAGTGGCAAATCCAGCACCTGAAGAGCATCAACGGGCGCACATGCTAGATCCGTCGGGAACATATTTTTTTGTTGACAATAAATAAAATATTTAGATTATAAAATCTAATAATTCATTTTATTTTCGAACATATCTTGTGGCTTGATTAGAGCTTCGAGATCCAAATTGGTGGTCCTGGGATTGGATCTCTTCCAAAGCAATTTATCGTGCAATTCTTCTAGTTCAACAATTTTTACCAAAACTAAATCAATAGGGAGGGGATTCGCCCTTGTGAGCCCTCTTTAAGATTACTGTAAGCTTGACCGTCAAGGCACTAGTTTAATTTTGACACTAAATGTAACAGAATAATATATATTCAATTTAAGCAATTTTAATGCAATTAGAAAGACTCAAATCTTTACATTTCTGTTGAATTATATAAAACTTGGCCATTATGTCAACTAATATACATACATACATACATATATATATATATATGTGTGTGTGTGTGTGTGTGTGTGTGTGTGCGTGTGTTCAGTTTTAGCAAAACAATTGTTATATTCAATTTTTCATATTTTATTGCAACTGACGATCAACTGTCAACGGCCGAACATGCTCACTCAAAACCCTGGATCCGCCCCTACTTATGGAGCTTTTCCATTTTGTCCAAACCCTCCTACACCCTTGTCTATTTTTCCTAGATAATAATAGAACGTAGCTACCTAAAAACAATCACATTTTGGAACAAAATCCTTTAGAGTAAACTTGTGTTGGTTCTACTCAAGGAAGCACAAACATGGACACGCCAACACATACTTTTCAGAGAAAGCATTAGAGACACTAAATAAAATATATAAAATTAAAATTATATTTATTCATATTTTCAATAAAAATAAAACACATTTTTTTGCTCTCTTTCCGGGACTTGGATTTCACAGCTTTGACAGTTTACCTATTCCATATTAGCCTCTATTATTGAAAAAGTATTATTCAACTGGTCAACTTTAACTTTGGAATGGTATAATACATATTAAATTAAGTCTTAAGTCAAAATATTCTTTGGAAGATGAAAAATGTTACTATAACCACGGTAAAAGAGTGCAATGCATGGATAAACATGTGAACATTAATTACTTATGTTTTAACTTTAAAAAGAATTTTAAGAGTAAGATAATAACGTTAGGGTTTAAGTCTTCATCCCTCCCCTTAAGCGTCTCTCCCTTCAAGGTTTCAACCTACTCAGCGTCTTCTCCCTCTTACCTCTACCCATGCGATTTTCCATAGTTCATTTCCGTCGTCTGTTTTATTTTAAACCACACGTGTGGTACATTTGATTAACAACAAAATGAAAAGTACAACCTCGGAAGGGGTTATGCGTGGCCTTAAAAAAAAAAAAGCAAAAAGAACTAACCCTGCCTAAAGACAAGGAGTACAAGAAAGCTAGAAACAAGACAAAAACTTGTATCTCGTGACATCATCCCATTTCAAGATCTCATCATTTCGAGTTAATCCTTTTTCTTTATATTTTGTCCAGTCAAACAAGAAAAGGACACGCAATCTAGCATCTTCGAAACATGTCGCATAGACGAAGTTTGTCAGCATATAATACGTTTCAAACACCGACTTGTCGGCTCCAATAGCATGTCTGTGCTTCACAGGTTCTACTTGACATTCAACCTTTAGATTTCAAGGTACTCCAAAGTTCTAATTTAAAGGTACCTTGTTTTAAATATGTAATATAAGTTCAACCACGATAGTGCCTAAAAATTAAGACCTTGATTTTTGCCTATAGGGAGAGAGAAACCCCTACAACAACCGCTACTACGTCACTCATGCTTGTGACTCGATTGCTGCATTAAGCACATACTTAATAACGTTTCCGAAACCCCAAAGATTATTTGGCAAAAATCAGGAAAATCAGATGAAATTTGGATGTTCTAATTTCTAGCCATAATTGGTTTAGAATACATTACATGTGAAGTAGCTATCCATGCAGAAAACTTCAAGCGTTCACATAGGAAGAAAGAAAACTATGGATGAGACTTTTAGCCTAAAACTTTTTTTTATAGGTACAAGAAGATTTAAATGCTAAAGATAAAATTACGTACAGGCAGGATGATTTAGTGATGAAAATTTTTATGCAGTGGACATGGCTCCTAACAATAAAACTAAATCACAATAGGAGTTAATAATTAGATTTATATTTTTCCTCACTCTTGAATTAAAGAAGTGGAATATATTTTTGGGATAATTGTAGCAAAAGCCCCAAACCTATTATTTGTTACAACCGTCACTCCTAACCTTTCCAAACATTACAGATGAAGTGCTTTTGGACAATTTCCATCCACAATTCCGTCAATTGACCAGAAATTTAACTTTGACCATATTTTTAGTATTTTAGAAAGGGGCAAAAAAGTAACTTTCCATTTAGTACATTAAATAATGAAATTAAAAAATAAGAAATAAAAAGAACACACACACATAATCATCTTCTTCCTCTCACCACCCCTCACCCACCTCCACCCACACCTCCAACTCAAACCCAAAATCCGCCCAACCACCGCCACCGCCACCTCCACAACCGGCCACCATCATCCATCCCATCACAATCGCCATCCAACAAACTCCACCACCCAACAAACTCCACCACCCAACCCCAAAAATGTAAAGAGCCCATTTTGGTGAAGGAGCAATTTTATGCAAAATTTTTGCACTTCATGGATCATTCCTTCCCAACAGGTCGGTCACATAGAGCAATTTTAGGCAAAATTTTCATAAAATTTGTAGACGTGGCAATGGTGGTGGAACTTCTCCTGACTGGATCTTTCGACTTGAGAGTAAGCATAAATTCGAAGAGATCTCTAATTGTAGCCAAATTCGTTTCACTCATATGTCTGTAATGTCAAATAATCTGTCCAATAACATCTCTATACCCATTTTTTTTTTTACAACAGCCATTTATAATCTGATCTAGATCCAAAGAGTTGAAAATTTCAATGGCTCAAGTGTAATTATGCTCCTTCACCCCAAAACATCCCTGGAATTAGAAATGGTCTCTTTACTGGTTTGAAATGGGAAGTGGGCTCTTTACCGGTAGCAAGTGATTGTAGAGGCAGTGGTTGGGCGGATTTTGGGTTTGAGGTGGGGGTAGGAGTAGGTGAGGGGTGGTGAGAGGAAGAAGATGATTGTGTGTGTGCTTTCTTTTTATTTCTTGCTTTTTAATTTCATTATTTAATGTAATAAATGGAAAGTTACTCTTTTGCCCATTTTTAAAATATTAAAAATATGGTTAAAGTCAAATTTCTGGTCAATTGACAAAATTGTGGATGAAAATTGTCTAAAAGGACTTCACCTGCAGCGTTTGGAGTGACGGCTGCAGTTTAAAAGGGCTTTACCTGCAACGTTTGGAAGGTTTAGGGGTGACGACTGCAACAAATCAAAGGTTTGGGAAAGGTCTGCTAATATTTCAAAGGTTTGGGGACTTTTGCTGCAATTATTCCTATATTTTTTGTCTTAATAGGTCCATGAAGAGATCATGAGTCAAAGGAGACAGTGGAATCATCAAGGACATCAAAACTACAAGAACTAAAAGAGAGATTCGATCATATGTCCACCCAAAACTCATCAAATCCAAATTCTAAAAGCGTATTGACTCCCCCCATCGAACTTTAGAATAATCAAGACAAATAATATGTCATGCCCATTCTTCTTTCTATATTTTCTGATACAAGTCTGCTGAGTGGTAAAAAACAGAACAGATATCAACGACAGGAGCATGTGCCATTCCAAAGTTAGTTAGACGACTGTTTACTGAAAAGTATAAAATGTATAAAGTGCTTTATGATATTAATACATACAGAAAAAACCTCTTAAAAACAGATACATGATTGGTAAGAAGCAGCTTGAAGCTCTTAATGCTCTATAAGTTCGCCACTGTATTATTTCCACACCTGCAGCATGGTTTCTATTCCTATTTACTTTTTAATTTAATGAAACTTTTTCCCAACTTCACCACTATAATTCTCTTTCAGGCTGACTAGTGATAAAAACCAATTTCTTGAGCATTACTTTGAATTGTTAGTTTATTATTTATGTAGCTTTTCCCGTATTGGTTGCAGGATATAGGATATTTGCATTTCAAAGTTCTCTTTAACTGATGCATAAATATTTCACAACTGGTCACTTCTCTAGCTATCTTTGTTTGTAATTATGAGCATATGAAAGAAGAGTTCGTGTAAAATGCTGAAGAAAACTAACCTTTTTCTTCTTTACAGGTTTAAGGATTTTGATTATGCATTTCTCATGGTTGGTGGTGTGCACCCCCTCAAATACTTCGCTATATTTTCCCCTCCCTACCTTCCTCACCACCTCGTAATCATCTTGCTCCCTGTTAGACCCAAAAAAAAAAAAAAAAGAGAGAGAGAGATTAAATTAAAATAACAAATGCCTCCATTCAAAAGATGTAAAATTAATCCAACTAGTTACGCACCCCCATTGAACTGTAAG